TGAAGAACTAGAAGAACTCTTTGTCCCTACCCCTCATTGTTTATTTATTCTCTGACTCTACAACATAATAAGGGTAGAGGGCATGTCTGTCCAGTTCACTATTGTATCTTTAACATTTAATTAGTACAGGAAAATCAAAGAATGAGTGAAAAGACATTAGAGTACCTATGTAAAACTCAGTTTGGGGAACATAAAGGAGCTTTTTAAAAATTAAATTTTTAAGATATTATTTATTTTTTCTTTTCAGACCAACATATGCTACTCCAAAAGTTCTAGAAAAGGCAGGATTAACCATGAATGATATTGATGCTTTTGAATTTCACGAAGCTTTCTCAGTAAGTCATTTGAAAGGCACATATGAAAGGACTGTTGTAATAAAAAATGTCACCCATATTTGTGAGAGAGAGCAGGGCATGTTTTATAATGTGAATAAAGCAGGAATGGACCTGTATGTTTTAAGTACTGACTCACATTACTGGGAGGGGCACGAGGGGAGGGAAGCAAGGACTACACGTACAGTGTGGGAGAACATACCTTCTGAGGCTCTTAGAGGTCCTTCCAAAGAACCAAATTGTTTCTTTAGGAAATTGCCGCTGAAAACTGATTCATGGATTTGTTCAACTTTAAACCATACCTACAAGTTGTTACACTTCCACAAACCATACCTATAAGAAAACATAGAGGAACATGAATAACAAGGTTCTTACTCAGTTATTTTCTCTTCTAGGGTCAGATTTTGGCAAATTTTAAAGCCATGGATTCTGATTGGTTTGCACAAAACTACATGGGTAGAAAAACCAAGGTGAGTTTCCAATTTTAAAAAATCTTGAATTTCCAAAGCACATTAATAATTGGATCTTAGTTACCTGCTATTAAGAATATGAAGGGAAAGCTGCTCTTTCTTTTGAAGAATTTTGTCTTTCATTAAATATATTTATTTCGCAGCTTAAAAGTAGAAATTCCTTTTTTTTTTTTTTTTTTTTAAAGATAGGGTTTCACCATGTTGGTCAGGCTGGTCTTGAACTCCCAACCTCAGGTGATGCACACGCCTTGGCCTCCAAAGTGCTTGGATTACAGGCATGAGCCACCAGGCCCAGCCAAAAGTAGAAATTCTTTAACAAAATCCTGTGTTGTATTTTGTTCCTTGCGTTCTGACATTAGATGAAAAATAAATGAACTCCTGACTTTTAATCTTGACCTAGACTTACTTTCTTTGCAGTAAAATTATTTGTAATGTCTGATGTTAGGTATTTTCCTCTATCTCTCTTACTTCATAGTACTAAGAGTCTGGCTCGATTCTGATCTTAAGTAAAACGTATCTTTACATTTGTGTCTTTGTGGGAGCCAGATTGGATTGCCTCCTTTGGAGAAGTTTAATAACTGGGGTGGATCTCTGTCCCTGGGACACCCATTTGGAGCCACTGGCTGCAGGTTGGTCATGGCAGCTGCCAACAGATTACGGAAGGAAGGAGGCCAGTATGGCTTAGTGGCTGCCTGTGCAGCTGGAGGACAGGTACGTTACAGTGTGTCATAGGACTCTCCAGAGAGTCATTTTCTTGGAATGACTAGAATGTTTGATTTAGTGTGAAACCTTTTTAAAGCAATCAATATTTTTGATGATCTTGGGGGTGGGGAGTGGGGAGAGATAACTTTAGTAATGATAATACTTTGTTTTCTGTTTTGGGGATTTTTTTTTTCTTTTTTTTTTTTTTTTTTTTGAGACAAGAGTCTTACTCTGTCACCCAGGCTGGAATGCAGTGGTGCAATCTCGGCTCATTGCAATCCACTTGCTGGATTCAGGTGATTCTAGTGCCTCAGTCTCCTGAGTAGTTGAGATTACAGGCGTGTACCACTACACCTGGTTAAGTTTTGTATTTTTAGTAGAGATGGGGTTTGCCACGTTGGCCAGGCTGATCTTGAATTCCTGACCTCAAGTGATCCACCTGCCTTGGCCTCCCAAAGTGGTGGGGTTACAGGCATGAGCCACCATAACCTGCCATAATTCTGATAATTCTTTGGAAGGAAACTGCTCTTTAAACCCAAGCTATTTTTCCCTAATAAAATGTTTATTTTAACATCTTGATATATTTTCTTCTTTAATAATAAACTTTTATTTATCTAGTCACCGTAAGATTTTATAAAATCTCTCCAAGAGAGAGAAACTATCTTTCTAGAGAACTGAATTATACCTTAATTGGGGAATTAATTTACCTCTGGATAACTTACTGCTGTTCAGCTGGGGAACTATGTTGTTGACAGATTTTTTTCCTTTCTACCTCACTTGCACTACAGATCCAACTTCCTAAATGCTGTAGCATTTCACTCTAGGAATAAAATCCAAAAGGAAGACTTTAGTTTGGTTTTTTGTTTTGAGACAGTCTCTCTCTCTCACCCAGATTGGAGTGCAGTGGTGCCATCTCGGCTTACTGCAACCTCTGCCTCCCGGCCTCAAGCAATTCTCCTGCCTCAGCCTCCTGAGTAGCTGGAACTACAGGCGTCTGCCACCACGCCCGGCTAATCTTTTTTGTTTTTTAAGTAGAGATGGGGTTTCACCATATTGGCCAGGCTGGTCTCAAACTCTTGACCTCAAGTGATCCACCCGCCTCAACGTCCCAAAATGCTGGGATTACAAGTGTGAGCCACCACGCCTGGCCTGTTTTTTTTAATCCCGATGTGAACAAATTTTTTCTTCCTCTAGATTACAGAAACTTTTCATTCCTGATCAAAATGAATAAATATTTAAGAACATAAACAGTCCAGGCGCAGTGGCTTACACCTGTAATCCCAGCACTTTGGAAGGTTGAGGCAGGTGGATCACTTGAGGTCAGGAGTTTGACACCAGCGTGGCCAACATGGTGAAAACTTGTCTCTACTAAAATTATAAAAAAGTTAGCCAAGTGCATGGGCATGCTCTTGTAATGCCCCCTACTTGGGAGGCTGAGGCAGGGGAATCGCTTGAACCCAGGAGGTTGCAGTGAACCAAGATGATGCCACTGCACTCCAGCCTGGGCGACAGAGACTCTGTCTCAAAAATAAAATAAAAGCATACATATCTTAACATTTCAGAGTCCTTTTTAATGGATTTTCCTGAGACTTTGCAGAAATCAAAGGGTCAGTTATTTATCGGTAGGAGCATTTTGGACTTTCTGATCAGAAATGTTTTCTAATCTGTGTAACTTCATCTACAGAAAACCATGGTCCATTAAGACTAGTGGTATCCCTCTCTCTCTCCTTGCCAGGCTTCTACCAGGGAGATAACTTGTACACATTACACACGAGCGTAGTGCGTAATCCACATAGGGTGATGCCTGCAGATTTGAGTCTGTGTTCCCTAATTCTTTATCTAACATGTAAAGTATAAATAACACAGTACTGGATACTTTGATGGATGAACAAGGAATGATACCTGGCACCTTTCTTCTAGAACTCTGTAGTATAGTGAAGAGAGAAGCGTCTGATAAACTAGGTTAAACTTGACGTTGTTTCCTCAAGAGCCATGTGAGCGATACCAACATGATTGGAGACAGAGGAGAAATCCATCCTGGTGAATCTAGAGCAGGATCTCTCAACTTTGGCACTAACATTTTGGGCCAAATAATTCTTTGTTGTGGGGGGCTATGTTGTGTGTCATAGGATGTTCAGCATGGCCTCTACCAACCAGATAGCAGCAGCAACAAACTCCTCCCCACCCCTGCCCCATGTACACACAGTTGGCACCACCAGAAGTATGTCCAGGTGTTGCCAAATCTGATCTAGAGCAAGAAAAAACATGGAGCATGAAAACAGTATATTTTAAATAAAGCTACAGAGGGCTGGGAGCAGTGGCTTATGCCTGTAATCCCAGCATTTTGGAAGGCTGAGGCAGATGGGTAGCTTGAACCCAAGAGTTCGAGACCAGCCTGGGCAACATGGCAAAACTTTATCTCTATCAAAAATACAAAAATTAGCCAGGTATGATTGCACGCACCTGTGGTCCCAGCTACTCGGAAGACTGAGGCGAGAGTGTTGCTTGAACCTGGGATGTTGAGGCTCCAGTGAGCCGTATTCATACCACTGCACTTTAGCCTAGGTGACAGGGTGAGACCTTGTCTCCAAAACCAAATAAATTAAAATTTAAAAATAGAATAAAATGAGCTGTATTCTACCTTATTATGAGTTCTTTCAGCACAACCCCCAAGTCCAGTCAAAGCTTCCTATCCCTGCTCTTTTTCTGTCTGCTTGTGCCTTTTCAATTTATTTAACAAGCCGGGCACAGTGGCTCATGCCTGTAATCCCAGCACTTTGGGAGGCTGAGGTGGGCACATTGCATGAGCTCAGGAGTTCGAGACCATCCTGGACAACCTGGCAAAACCCCATCTGTACTAAAAATACAAAAACTAGCTGGGCGTGGTGGTGTGTGCCTGTAATCCCAGCTACTGGGGAGGCGGAGGTGGGAGAATCACCTGAGCCCAGGAGGTTGAGGCTGCAGTGAGCCATGATCAGGCCACTGCACTCCAGCCTGGGTGACAGAGGGAGACCCTGTCTCAAACAAACAAAAAACCAAAAGTACCTAACAGGTTGTTTGGAACTCCATTGTATACTTGATTGAGAACGAAGAGCACTCTTTAAACCCGCACAGTGTTCAACTTGGCACTTTGTAAATAATAGTTTGTTTTATTTACTTTTTAGTTTTTTAGAGACAGGGTGTCTAAAAATCCTATGATAGGATTTAGACTCATCTAAACTGAGGACATAACTACAGCTAGTGCTCGACTTACGACCACGATTGGTTCCGACAGACCGGTCGTAACACTATTTGGTTGTAAGTTGAGTAGGCTATATGCACGCGGAGGTGGTAGTGCTGCCGGAAGCTGGTCCGCACTCTCGTACGCCCAGCTGGGTAACGTTTGCGCTGCCAGACGCGGAGCAGTCGTGGCTAGCGATTGTGGTCGTAAAGTCAAATGGTTGTAAGTTGCATAGGTCATAAGTCGATCAATACCTGCAGTACATAGCCCTGTGCATACTGCTGGAGAAAAGATATTCTGCTTCTTCCCTTTGTGGTCCCTCAGATCATCTCCTTAACCTATGTAGAATAGTGAACAAGGGACAAGCCCAGCCTTTGGAATCACCTAAACCTGGTTTCAAATCCTGGCCCTGTTACCTTAATAGCTTTGTGATTTGGGCGAGTCACAAACCTTTCAGAGCCTCAGCTTTCCCCTCTAGAAACCTACTTTTACTGGTATTTGCTGTATCATGTTTATTTTTTTACAGCTAAAAAGCCCCTGGATTTCTTATTTTAACAGTGTCCATTTATAGAGCATCACTAGGAATTAGATTCTGTTCTAGACAGCCTGATGCATATATGTATATATGTATGTGTAGATATATTTGTGTGTATACATACACACAAATATACTGCATGTTATTTAATGTCCACAAAAACTCTATGAAGTAGACACTGTGAGCCCCATGTTACAGAGGAAATTCAGGTTCAGACTGACTACAAACCTTCCCAAGATCACACAGTGGTTGAATGGCAGAGCCAGGATCAAACTCCAAAGGCTGTACTTTTCTCACCGTTCTCTGCTGTCTCTGTACTAGCTGGATTCGTCACCATTCATTGCTCTAATTGGACTTTGTTTTCTTTACAGGGCCATGCTATGATAGTGGAGGCTTATCCGAAATAATAGATCCAGAAGTAACCTGAAGTTTCTGTGCAACACTCACACTAGGCAATGCCATTTCAATGCATTACTAAGTGACATTTATAGTTCCTAGCGCCTCTTAGGAAAACAATTCTTGTGGCCTTCTTCTTACACTTAAGCCTTGCCAGTGTTCTGAGCTTTTCAGTAATCACAGTTTACTGCTCTTTCAGGGATTTCTAAGCTGCCAGAAGCTCACACAGAGATGTGTGGGTGATTGTTTTTGGTCTCTTGTCAGTAAAGACTAAATGAGTCTTTGCAATTGGGAAAGAGGTCAGCTGAGATTTGGAAATTATCTTTGTAATATTTGCAAATTTTGCTTGTTCCTGTCTGTGTCCTAAAGATAAGTGTTCTCTATAAAATACAAACCAATGTGCCTAAATTAATTGTAGAAAAATAATTCAGAATCTAAACATCACTGAAAACTTACAAAAAATGTTTAGATACGTAAACATCATGGTGGTCAACCTTAATAAAGTGGAGAAATATTGGAGAACTCTTTGCTTCATTTTTTATTGGTCGGGGAGAGAGGTTCTCTTGGCTTAGGACCAGATTTTCCCTTGAATTACTCATTTGTTACTTCTATTTTGGTCGGTGTCTAGGCTGCTGGGAACTAAAGACAGTCCTGTTTTGATTGATTGATTGATTGAGATGGAGTCTCGCTCTCGCATGGGCTGGAATGCATTTGCGCAATCTTGGCTCTATTTTGGTTAATGGCAAGAATGCTGGGAACATAAAGACAGTCTTGTATGTATTTATTTATTGAGACTGAGTCTCACTCTGTCGCCCAGGCTGGAGTGCAGTGGCACAGTCTCAGCTCACTGCAACCTCTGCCTCCCAGGTTCAAGCAATTCTGCTTCAGCCTCCCAAGTAGCTTGGATTATAGGTGCCCGCCACCACACCTGGCTAATTTTTGTATTTTTAGTAGAAATGGTGTTTTGCCATGTTGGCCAGGCTGGTCTCGAACTCCTGACTTCAGGTGATCCACCTGCCTTGGGCTCCATTACAGGTGTGAGCCACCGTGACCAGCATGAAGTCCTGTATTAGAATAACACCTTTTGTTTTACTCCACAGCTGAATTGCAGAACCTTTATTTCACTGTTTGGAGATGCCTCTGTTAGCCAGGATTTAAACAAAGTGTAAAGAAGTTTTTTATTTTGATTAACTACTCTAAATCCTCTCAGATTTTTGACAACTACCCTGTACCAAGTAACATGGATGCTGGTGTTTAAAGAAGCAAACACTAGCTTCTTTTTGTGGACGTTTGTGTGACTGTTGCCGAGGTCTGTGAAAGTTACTGGGAATCAAAAATCACCCTGTAGTTTGGGCCGGAGACGTAGTGCTAACCTCTTAAAAGGTTATGTGAGAGTCCCAGCATAATTTTCCCCGTGGTTTCCTTCATAATTATAATGTGAGTTTTTAATACTGAAAAGCCTTATATTTAGGTATATATCAGAAAAATCAGGTATAGCTAAATTAAATATAAAATGTAAAAACCTTAAAATTTAGAAAAATAAAATACCCCTGTGACCTTAGGTTGAAGGGAGAGAGAGATTTCTTGAAGAAGACATTGAAAGTACTAACCATGAAAGATGTATAAATTTGCCTGTGTTGAAATAAGTTTTGTTCATGTGGTGATACAGAGTGGTGGAGAAACAAGCTAAAAGTGGAGCACATATTTATAGTAGATACGGTTTTAAAAGAATCCAGGCTGGCCTGGCACAGTGGCTCATGCTCCCAGCACGTTGGGAGGCCAAGGGGTTGGATCACAAGGTCAGGAGTTCGAGACCAGCCTTGCCAATATGGTAAAACTCCATCTCTACTAAAAATACAAAAATTAGCCGGGTGTGGTGGCGGGCGCCTGTAGTCCCAGCTACTCGGGAGGCTGAAGCAGGAGAATCGCTCAAACCCTGGAGGTGGAGGTTGTGGTGAGCTGAGATCACGCCACTGCGCTCCCTGGGTGACAGAGCAAGACTCCATCTCAAAAAAAAGTGTATATATATATATATATATATATATGAATCAGGATATATAAATAATTCCTAATTCCTATAAATCAATAAAAGACCACTCAGAAAAAAATGAAAAAAAAAAAAAGCAAAAGATCTTAAAAGGCAATTTTTAGAAAATGATATGCAAGTGGTAAATAACATGAAAAGATGCTCAGTAGTAATCAGGAAAAGTAATTTAAGGTCATAATGAGATACACCTACCAGACTGGCAAAAATTAACAAGACTGAGGATACCAATGTTGATGAGGATGTAGACCAATATCAGAACTTTATATGCTGCTGGTGAGAAGCCAGATTGGCACAACCACTTTGGAAAACAGTCTGGCATTATCTTGTACATCTGAATAGGACACAGGGTCTGTGACCCAGCATTTCTGCTCTTAGGAATATTCCCTAAAGAAACTTGCACATGAGATACGTACAAGCCTGTTCACAGCAGCATTGCTCTTAATAGCAAAATATTGTAAATAACCCATGATCATTGGCAGGACAGTTTCAAAAATGAGCAAAACTATCTAGGATGCCTACAGGCGAGGTAAAAATAGTTTCTGAGGCTGGGCGCAGTGACTCATGTTTTTAATCCCAGCACTTTGGGAGGCCGAGGCAGGCGAATCACAAGGTCAAGGGATCGAGGACCATCCTGGCCAACATGGTGAAACCCTGTCTGTACTAAAAATACAAAAATAAGCTGTGCATGATGGCACGACCCTGTAGTCCCAACTCCTCAGGAGTCTGAGACAGGAGAATCTCTTGAACTGGGGAGGCGGAGGTTGCGGCTCACCACTGCACTCCAGCCTGGGCAAAAAGAGCAAAACTCCATCTAAAAAAAAAAAAAAAGTTTCTGAAACAGCTAAGGTAAGGGAAAAGAGACACATCTTCCTTACTGAAGATTTCCAAACAATACATGCAGATACTCCTGACTCCAGGAGCTGGAGCATGCCCCTCCTATTTGAGTGTGGACTAGACTTGGTGACTCCACTCCAGTGAATACGGTATGGAAAGGGAAAAGGCTGCCTTACACTGGAGAAATGGAAAACACCAGCTTACCCAAGGCTAACATCATCAGTACTGCCATGCGGATGCACGTGCCTCCTAAGATGTAGTCAAGGTACAATTCACCTCTGTGGTATTCCTTCCAAATACCCATAATCCAGTCGAATCATGAGAAAACAGGCTGAAGGCCAGTCTGTGACATACTTGACCAAGACTCAAAACTTGAAACTATCAAGGTCATAAAAAGGAAATACTGAGATTTGTCATACATCAGTGGAGGCTAAGGAGACATGACAGCTGAATGTGATATAATATCCTGGACTTGATTCTGAAACAGAAAAACTCATGGAAAAACTGGTGAATTCTGAATAAAGTCTGGAGTTAAGTTTGTTTGTTTGTTTTTTTTTTTTTTTAAGCCTAGAAATAAATCTTCACATATGTAGTCAAATGCTTTTTGTTTTGGGCGGGGGCATGTTTTGGGACAGAGTCTTGCTTTGTCGCCAAGGCTGGAGTGCACTGGTGCGATCTCAGCTCACTGCAACGTCTGCCTCCCAGGTTCAAATGATTCTCCTGCCTCAGCCTCCCAAGTAGCTGGGACTACAGGTGCACACCTGTAGTCTGGCTAAACGTTTTTGTGTTAGTAGAGATGGTGTTTCACCATGTTGGCCAGACCAACATGATCTTGAACTCCTGGCCTCAAGTGATCCACCTGCCTCTGCCTCCCAAAGTGCTGGGATTACAGATGTGAGCCACTGTGCTTGGCCATCAAATGCTTTTTGAAAACAGTGCCAAGACCATTCAATGGGGAAAGGACAGTCTTTTCAGCAAATGGTGTTGGGAAAACAGGACATCCACATGCAAAATAATGAAGTTGGACCCTTACCTTACACCCTATACAAAAATTAAGTCAAACGGATCAAAGACCTAAAAGAAAGATAAAAGCCACCAGGCTCAGTGGCTCATGCCTGTAATCCCAGCACTTTGGGAGGATGAGACAGGTGGATCACAAGGTCAGGAGATTGAGACCATCCTGGCTAACACAGTGAAACCCCGTATCTACTAAAAATATAAAAAATTAGCCGGGTGTGTTGGCACGCGCCCTTAGTCCCAGGTCATGGGAGGCTGAGGCAGGAGAATCGCTTGAACCTGGGAGGCAGAGGCTGCAGTGAGCCGAGATCACGCCACTGCACTCTAGCCTGGGTGACAGAGCAAGACTCCGTCTCAAAAACAAAAAAAGATAAAAAGAAAGATAAAAGCTACAACATATAGTTTTATAAAGTTTTATAAACACTTAGAAGAAAACATGGGGGAAAATACATGACATTAGATTTGGCAATGATTTCTTGGATATGATATTGAGCATAGGCAACAAAGGAAAACAGATTAAATTGGATTTCATCAAAATTAAAAACTGCATCGAAGGGTACAATGAACAGATGAAAAGGTAGCCTATGGAGTGGGAGAAAATATTTGCAAATCATGTCTCTGACAAGAGGTTAATATTCAGAATATATAAAGAACTAAAGTTCACACCCAGAAAACCCCCATTTAAAAATGGGGAAATAGGCCGGGCGCGGTGGCTCAAGCCTGTAATCCCAGCACTGTGGGAGGCCGAGGCGGGTGGATCACGAGGTCAAGAGATCGAGACCATCCTGGTCAACATGGTGAAACCCCGTCTCTACTAAAAATACAAAAAATTAGCTGGGCATGGTGGCGCGTGCCTGTAACCCCAGCGACTCAGGAGGCTGAGGCAGGAGAATTGCCTGAACCTGGGAGGTGGAGGTTGCGGTGAGCCGAGATCGCGCCATTGCACTCCAGCCTGGGTAACAAGAGCGAAACTCCGTCTCAAAAAAATAAATAAATAAATAAAAATAAAAATGGGGAAATAATTTGAATATCTTCATCTCCAAAGAAGATGGCCAATAAGCACTGGAAAAGATGTTCAAAGTTACTAATCATGACGGAGATGCAAATCAAAACCACAGGAGACCACTTCACAGCCATTAATCCATTAGTGTGGTTACTAGCAAAAGAACAGAAAATAGCAAGAGTTGGTGAGGATGTGGAGAAATGGAAATTTTTTTTTTTTTGAGATGGAGTTTCACTCTTGTTGCCCAAGCTACAGTGCAATAGTGTGATCTCAGCTCACTGCAACCTCCACCTCCCAGGTTCCAGCAATTCTCCTAGCTCAGCCTCCCAAAGTGCTGGGATTACAGGGGTGAGCCTCCACGCCCAGCTAAAATGGAAATTCTTTTGGGCTGTTCATAGGAATGTAAAATGGTGCAGCTGCTATAGAAACAGCATGGCAGTTCCTAAAAAAATTAAACATAGAATTACCCTATGAGTCACCAATTCCACTCATGGGCATATACCCAAAAGAACTGAAAGCAAGGTCTTGGAGAAATATTTGTATATTCACGTTCATAGCAGCATTAACCACAATAGCCAGAAGGTGGAAGCCACTCAAATGTCTATTGATGGATAACTG